CTCTTCTTGATTTCAGTAACATTTTCTTTCATTTTGTCTTCATTTTTATCTTTATTTGGTATTATTGCAGTTGATCTTTTTCTGCATCTTTTTTTTCATGTTCCTCTGTGTCATCTTATCGTTATTCCATGATCTATAGTTAGCGTTTGTTATAAACAATCGTAAAAACTTTTTTCTTTTTTCGATAAAACGTGTTAAACACATCGAAAAAGAGAAAAAAAATAACGAAAAAATAAACAACAAGAAGAAAAAAAAGTGAAAACTTGAATAGAATAGGAAAAAAGTAAGAAAACAAAGAATCTTTTGCCATATTTCTATTATTCCAGATGTCAAATTTACGTAAACAAATTCTTTCTAAATCTCTTCCACCTATTGGTCCTTCATCATCTATTAGAAATTATACACTTATTGAATGGAATATTTATTTTAATGATAAACGTTATATAACAATGGATAAAAATACATTTTGTTTATATTCACGAAATACAAACGACAATTTATCACCGATTTTGTATATTTTTACATGGTAAGAGTTTTCTGGTTTAAGTTGGGCTGTTCTTTCACAAGCAGTAACTAATCTTCTACAATGTCAATGTATTGCAATAGATATTCGTGGTCATGAAGAAACAAAAACTACAGATGAAAATGATTTAAGTATTGAAACACTTACAAATAATGTATGTCAGATTTTACATAATTTATTTAATGAAGATAATATATCTTCGATTTTTTTAATTGGACATTCAATGGGTATATTTACAGAAAAAATGTTTAAAAAGAATAATTTAATAAAATTTTTATGAATAGGTGGTGCACTTGCTGTTTATATAGCGAAAGAATGTTCATCAATGATCAATGCACTGTGTGTTATTGATGTTGTAGAAAGTATGAAAATGTAATTTTCTTGAAAAAGATTTATTATTATTGTGATGAATAGGTAGTGCACTTGAATCTTTAAATTCAATGCAATGTTTTCTTAGTTCAAGATCAAAACAATTTTCAACTCAAGAAAAAGCAATTGAATATATTGTTCGAAGTGGTCAAGTAAGAAATGTTGAATCAGCATGTGTTTCTATTGTTGGACAAATTCAACCTATGATTAATACTCCATCAAATGAAACAGATTCATCGATATTTCCAACAGTCTCGCGTTTATGTTAAACAGTTCGAGAAGAAGATGAGAAATCTTCTGTTAATATTCAACAACCAACGACAACAAATGAGTCAAATCAATATACACGGAGAATTGATCTTTCAAAAACAGAACAATTTTGGCAAGGATGGTTTTCTGATTTGTCATATTGTATTTTCTTGATTATTAAACTCTCTTATTATTATTTTTTTTCTTATAGGCTTATCAAACTTATTTTTTATCCTGTAAATCTCCAAAATTACTTTTATTAGCCGATGTTGATCGTCTTGATCGTGATTTAACAGTTGGTCAAATGCAAGGCAAATTTCAAATGCATGTTGTTCCTTAAAGTGGCCATGCTGTACATGAAGATGCTTCTGAACAAGTTGCTGATTGTATTGCCTCATTTCTTGTTCGACATAAATTAGTCCAACGAAGTTCTTCTTGCATTCATAGCTCATTAGGCTCTACAAGATGTGCTATATATTAACTGATTTCAAGATGTCGTGTATTCTGATGCCTGTGGTCTCCCACAGCATTTTTTTAAAATTCTTTAGTATTTTTAATTTTTGACAGTGTTGCACAACGTTTTTCTCATTTTTAATATCATCAATCGATAGAGCGTGAAAAACTACCCTTCTGGTAAAAGTTTGACGTTGCAGCTAAACTCCTTTCATGACAAAGTAGGAAGATAAATGCTTATTTACAGAAAAACATTGTCATTTTCTATCCCGGAATCTCAGTTTTTTTTATTTCAGAGTAACTTTTTTTCACCATAAAAAGTTCAGATTCGTATAGAGCACAACATTTTAAGTTAGAGAGGACATCTTTCACTAAACTTTGAAGAAGGATTCTTTTATAAGGGACCCAAAATTAAAAAATAGGGCCTAGATTCGGGTCCAGACTATAAGGAGAACAAGGGAGTTTTTAGAGATTTCATTACGACATTCATAATCAGCACACTTTAATGTATAGGAATATCTAGCTTTGATTGATGAAAAGCGAAATTTTTTTTTCTACGATATCTGAGGAGCAGCTCAGGGACCAAAATTGATGATGCCATTTTTTTCAAAATAAACCTAAAATAAATAATCAGAAGTCACCTCATATTCAAACCTAATAGAAACAAATTAGTCCTGAAGCTGTTTAAAAGATTTGGCCTTATCGGCTCTCCTGCTTTTTTTTCTTCCTTTCTGAAGCATATGTTATTCTATGGTGACTCATGATGTTTGTTTTTCCTCTAGCCTATCAGTTGACTGTATCGACCAGCGTGGTCGTCACATACACACACACTGAAGTAAAGCATTTTTTTTGGAACGAACATGCGCGTTAAGTAAAAAAATTTCCCACTTCCTACTTCACCAAAAATAGTTAATTCAAAAGACAGCTACTTGCAACTGACTATGAAACGAAATTTCTTTTCATGTATGAGGACTTGTCTGCACTACGTGAATTAAAACTTAATTAAGCACGGAATATATGGTGGGTGTGGGTGTGGGCGTGTTGGTGTGGGTGTGGGGTGGATGTGGGTGTGTGAGTGTGGGTGTGGCCGTGTTGGTGTGGGTGTGGGGTGGATGTGGGTGTGTGAGTGTGGGTGTGGGTGTGGGTGTGCGTGTGGGTGAAATAAAAGAATTACACCGACACCCACACCCACACTCACCCCACACCCATTGCGAGCCAATACACATCACTCAGACTGCTTTTAATAGTATTGATAGAAGGAACGACAAAAAAAGAGAATATGCCGACATAATGACTGTCGTTGCAAACAGAAATGGGAATAAAAAGGTAAACAGTATGTGCACAAAAATAGTGACTGCACGTTTGCGCACATTTTTCAAAACAACCACTTCGTTAATATCGCTAAGCGTAGAGAGGTAAGATGATGTTTCTCTGCTATAATTTTATATTCTGTAAGACACTGATATTAATGCTCTATCAACAGATATGGCATCAGGATTGGAATCAAGTCAATGTTCGATCTGCCAGAAGAACACAGGAAAATGCATGTGTAATGGGTGTAAAAACTATTTTTGCATCAAACATTTTAATCAACATCGTCAACAACTCTCGATGAAATTCGATGATAAAGTTGTGAGAACTCACGATGAACTTCTCGAACAAATGAATAGAGCAACTCAATCGAATGCTTCTGCTTCTGAACTTTTCGATGAAATTCATCGATGGGAGACTGTAACCATCGAAAAAGTTCATAAAGCAGCTGAACGAGCTCGTCAACAGCTTACTCAACTGCTCACTCGAGAGAAAGATTCATTAACAAACGATTTTGGAATAATGACAAAAGAAATTCGTAATCGACGAGACGAAGATGATTTTGATGAAAATGATATCGAACGACTTCAACAAAAAATAAATCAGATACAAATATCACTAAAACAATTTAGTGGAGCAACAAAAACGAAAGCGATCATAGTGACAAACGATCAAGTCGATTGGAATCAATTCATATACGTCCAAAAAGAAAAGAACAGAATCAGTGAGTGGATTGAACACGATATTTGATGGAATATTTTAGCCAGTTAAATTAGCAAGAAAACTTGAAGAAGTTTTGTTTCCTTTTAGAGCTCAAATTTTAAAACATGAATTGATGTGCGTGAGACTCGAATATCCTTGAGGATGTGGGTGTGAGTAGGTGTTAGTGGATGAGATCGACAAAAAGGCCGCGTACTCTACATCAACTCATACTCACACTCTCGTTGTTTTTGAAACGTTCAGTTGAAATGAAACAAACAACGGTTGTTTTGAGGTTGTGGGTGTAGATGAAGAGAAGACTCACGTACACCTATGTCCACACCCAAACTCCTACCCTGACCCTCGCACCCCACATTCACCTACACATCGAAATCGCATTTCTCTTCTGTTTTTCAAAGCCAGGCACATTTTTAATCAATAGTTAGTGATGTACTTTCGAATAAAAAGTCGGAGTTACCTTATCGAATTTAATGTTACAAGTATCTAAAATCAAAACAACTGTATAATTTTCTGGTAAGGTTTATTCAAAATTCATGTCATTGGTTTTTCAACCCCATCGTCATTCCGTTGATCAGTTTGTATCATGCAGAGACTTATCTTGTCACGTCCGATCATTGTTCAAAAAGTATCTGGTATATCATTTTATTTTTCGAAAGCAAATGACAATAATTGTTTTTCTTCCAAATAGTCGCATCAGATGTTTTTAGATCCCAATCAGATGAGCAAAAATCTATTCGATATCGTTGAATATCCTTTGACTTGCATCAAACAGTCATATAGACATTTAAGAAATACAGATGATTATTGTTTTAACTATGTGAAATTGTCAGCTCTTCTTCGTTTGAAATTGATGTTATATGTCTAAAGTCATGATTTTCGTGAGATCAATAAATCTTATGTCTTTGTAATGCGCGAATCTATCAGAAATGAGAATTTACATTTATATCAATACGACAAAGGTTCTAACTATGTTTCGAGATAAATGTCTATATCGCTAAAACTTTGATTGAAAACGTGAAAAACAAAATGCATAAAAGAAGAACAATCAATTAAAATTGAAAGATGAACAATTGACAATTTCATGATGTGATTCGTTCCGCCAATGATGACATCCTTTTGTAGATATTCTTGTATGTTTCTTCAAATAGAAATATTTGCAACATCAACTAAATAGTATCTGACTGTTGTTGCTTACATTGTGAGGATAGATTTCGATGAGAAACTAACCGTTCTTGAATCGAATAAACTTCAATGAACCGGACGAGTGTTGGATTATCGATTGTGTTGAACGATGAAGTTTGATACTTGAAGATTCATTTATAGAAATAACCATTCAAATTCGTCTAAAATATAGAAAAAGGTTTTCTGTAATCAATATTATTTCAAACTGAATTTTGTAATTAGAAAATATCAGAATCTCTGTCAGGTACTTATCTCGGCCAGTTTTTCCATGTTCTTTGATACGATTCGTTAAGTGACTTTATGTTGTCTCAATGAAATATAATCTTTGGTCACATCTCGATACTAATATGAAGAATTTAATTTAATCAGAAAATGAACTTGAAATGGACTCCTTTTCAATTTTTGCACTTCGTGTATACGGTCGTTGAAGTTGAGCACATTCTGTGGCACCTATTTGAAATGATTTGTTTTATAGTGAATTTAAAAAAAAAATATTTTATTTGCCATTTTACAATTATATCATCAGAAATATTTAAACTACGTACAATAGGTGAACTATAAAGAAATAATATGATAAAATTTTTATTATTCTGTTACGTATTAATTTTCAGTTGTTTAGGTTGAATATATGTATAATGTTTTTGTATTTCAGGATGAGCATGTGCTTTCGTAATTATGTCAATTATTGTTGGTATTGTCTGACGAAATTTAAGCAAATTTTATATCAAATACGAATCAACTTGACCATTGCTGACGGTACAAATACATATGACTGATGAAGAGAATATAGAATTGTTAGTAACTATTGAAAGTGATCGTCGAATAGGACAACGTATAAAACAACCTCGGATAATATGAGTAAGTGTGGACAAGGTATTAAAGATATAGTTCTAGAAAAAAATGTTCAGCGCAAAGCTTCTAAATCTTTCATGGTAGCTTATTTGTAACTATTATTCTTAAGATTAAATGTGAATAATCAGAGTAAATACTCATTCTCAAATTACTTATTAAAGTTCTTATGACTTATTCTTAAAGATTTTGTTTTTTTCTAACTTCAATCATCGATCATTCTCTTCTATTTAATTGTGAATCAGATGCTATATGTTCCTCTTCAAAATAATTACATGAAAAATTAGTGTTTCCAACAATTATTGCAACAATTTTATTATTCATGGATTGAAAGAAATATTACAATTTGTATATTTATTCTAAACGGTATTCGTGCCTGTGGTAGAAGTGAAAGCCTCACAACTACATCTTGACAGATCAGAGTTTTTTCATTATGATAAAAAATAAAAGAGTTGAATAAAAGAAGTGCTAAACTTATGAGAAACAAAATATAAAAACAATTCTTCAGATATTCTCTGATGCTTGAAAAATTTCTTCATCTTATCGAATTATTATTCAATTGTCTGTTACACTAAACTAATTTATAATCATAATTCTCATATGCTATCATATAAGAAAATGTATTTGAAAATTCTTCACTTTAAATCCTACAAATAATGTGCTACTGATAAATTCTAGGAAGAATTAACTTATTTCAGGAATAAGTCTTTTAAATAATTAAAATTATTCTCTTCATTTATTTACGAGAAAATTGTTTGAGACATGCATTCATTTAATAATTTGTTATTTATAGGAAGAACTTTCTGGGAGTATTCTATTTCATAT